TGCCTCATTTTCTGAATGCTATCCATCCCCTGCCTGGGGCAGGGTTTCTGTGAAAAAAATAAATGTGATCATGCATGTAAGGACTGCATCACACACACAGAAGAGGATAATGGTTGAACGGACAAGTTCTGGCATTTATTAACTTACTCAAATAAATTTACGTAAAAAATAGTTTGGCATGTACCAGGATGTGGTTGGACAATGCAGTGTGTACAGGCAATTCCTTTGCTTTAAAGAGAGGAGGAGCTGTAAGATGCCAGAAAGGCTCTAATTTATCTCAGCAGTCCTACTGAAATCACTGATTAAATGGTGATTAAAATCAAGAACCGTAACTGTTGGCTAACCAGAGATCTTGAGTGTAGTTCTTTGGCTTGTATCCCTGGAGTCCCAGGTATTGGTCCCCTTGACAGACTGCTGTGTAACTCTGTTACTTTAAGTTCAATAAGTCCGTAGGCAAGAAGAATGTTTACTCAAATTGACTTTTGTTTTGGATAATCTAGATTTTGCAAGTTTCTTCTGTGTTAGTCTACAGTCACACTGTCACGGGCTGAAGATGAGTATTATTCCTGGAATTACTGTCAGAATGCAGCAACAATTGTCTTTACTGCAACGAACTCTGTGTCCGTATCTTGCCCAGTAGATGGTGGTGTTGGCTGTTTTTTCAAATTTATTTTAAAGCTGTGTATTTACATGCGTGCGTTTTTTTCCTTCTTATTTTTTGTCCTTTGCATTTCAGTTGTTCTTCCTTTGTCTTCCTTTTTATGTCTGCCTGTTCTCCCAAATAATATTTTTACCTTGGAGAAAATAATAGTAGCCTTTACTCTGATTTGATCTCTGTACTGATAAGATCTTGTACACTCTTAGAAGGGCACCAAGTAACAGTAAACTGAGATAGTCTGATCTTTGTTGCTTTGAATTAGACACGTGCAACAGCGGGGACTTAATTTGAAACTTGATTCTATATATTTCTTCCCAATAGGTTTGTGTTTCTAAGAATTAATCTGCACTATTATAGCTATTTCACATTGTTTGAAAATTTATTTTTATCCCACGTAGTGATAAATACATAGAGTATTTTTATGAAATGCAGAGAAAGAGAACTAAAAGCCCTTTTAACATATAATTCCTCCTATATAAAACTACAGAGTGCCTTCCAGTCTGCATAAGGCATGATAAGGCAAAAAACTTGCATTGGGCATGGAAAAGTCCTAAAGCCACGGGAGGATGGAGAGCAGAACTCCACCTGCAGTGTTACGCTTAGTCACGTGCACGGAGAAGTTCATTTCCATGGCTGAGCCCAGCAGTGGTGGGCAAAGAATGATGGGCTAATCAGGAAGATGGAGCACCATTTTCACAAGAAGAAAAGGAGCTTGTCCTTAGCTAAATAAAATTAAGTTCTGGGGTACATAATTCCTTGCTTCAAATGCATACCCAGAGAGTAAGCATGAGGGTACTGGAGCTGTGTAATCCATAGGGTAATGTCGGGTTGAGAACCAATGGGTATAAACTGACTGAATAGATGAAAAATTAGAAGAAGGTTTTTTTGAGCAAGGAATTGAGGAATGTACTTTTGGTAGAGATGCTGGTAACAGAAACTCTGGCTGCATATCCATTGCAGCTGAAACATTTATGAAATACTTCGTGTGATACTGCTGCCTGCAATAAAGAAAGGCTTCCTCCCAGTGATTATGATACTTGTTCCAGGCCTGTGTAAATTTTAATGCAATATTAATTTAAGAAAAGTTTATTGATAGTAATTTTGATCTCCGTAGAAGAACTTAGCATGTAGAAATAGTTCAGAAAGTATTTATAAAGTTTGATTATTATTTGTTTAAGCCTTGCTTACCCTCAATGTGTTCTTTATTTGTTGAATGAATGTTAAAATATTACTGGAGGTTAAATTAACAGTCATATAAGCTGAAGTCCTGGTATATCAGGACATCGTTTTCCGAGAATGTGAAATGTCTCTCAGCTCTGAATGGAAGGAATTTTAATGATGTTTAGATGGAAACTGCTGTTCAATTCTGTTTTGATCCTTGTGGAAACTGCAAACAGGGCAGGTAAATAAGTTCTGTGTTGTATATGTAGCCACTAACAATTGGACTCATCCTGATGACTCAGTTTATGATATATTTGTGTTAAAAGAACTGCAGTAACTTTAAAATGTGTATTTTTGCCCTTGCTCACCTGTATGTGAAACTCTGTAAGTTAAATTTTCTATTCAAATGTTACATTTATTTCTGTTTATCTTACCATGGATTCGCTCATGAAAGCTGTTGAGGTTTGGGTAGCAAAGGAGGTTTTGGTAGCAGAGGAGGGCTACAAGGGGTGGCTTCTGTGAAAAGCTGATGGAAGCCATATATTTACTTAAGGAGTTTTGTGACTTAAAACCAAAGTTTTATGTCTCAGAATGCTGTGGATCCATCCTGAGAAGTTAGCTCGGTGGCACTGTTTCCTTCCCTCTCTATCACCTGCTGTGAACTTCCAGACTGTCAGCACACCTAGGGAAGTATACGGGAGGACTGCTCTTACTGTATTTTAGCTTGGATCACCAAAAATAGACGTAATATTGTGACAGAACCTTTACCTTCAGGTTGGTGTGGTGGGGTGTTGGTTTTTTTTTGTTTGTTTGTTTGTTTTTTTGGGGGAGGTGGTTTTGTCACCTACTTTCTAGGAAGAAGAGGCTTACAAAAGTGTTCAATTTTTTCATGGACACGCAAACCACCATTAATCTAGATCCGTTTTTGTCATGCATCCAACAGTAGACACTAGTTGGCACATTGTTCTGGCAGCTCTTACCCTGCGATGGCTTTCTGCAGCATGCTGCTCTGTACATCTATTTGTACTGGTTTTAGGCAGTGAACCTTTTTTTTGCTTTTCCTCCCCAGCTAAACCCAGATTATGACTCCTCAGGTCTGAGGCATTTTTCTGGTCAGCTACGGAGAGTCCACTGTGTGCAGTAATGCTGAAACTGTGGCTGGGGAAGCAGTCAGCAAAAACAGATGTGTCTGCTTCAAGCCTGTGTCCGAACAGGAGCTGGAGGCCCCTGACATTGAGAAAGGGGAGGCTGTGGGCAAAACCAGGAGATACAGAGGTCAGATGAGGCAGCTGGACCAGGAGCACTGTTGTCACATCTTCCTGCCTGCTAAGGCAGTAGGAAGTGGTTACTCCATCACTGAGCCCGTCTTAGCGTGGTGGCCTGACTATTCAGGAGCTGCTTCCTTAATGGTTCAGCTCTTGCTGCTGTGCACAACCTCCCGTGAAAGGGTGGCTGGAAGGTGCAGCAGAGTGTTTCCAGAAGGTGCTTAGTAACTTCCCTGTGACCTGTCGGTTGGTGGGCTGCAGCACCGCGTGTTAGTTTGTGCTCACAGCCTGTGTGCTGAGACAGCTCGTGCAGAGTTATAGCTCTTGGAAGAAAGGAAGGTTTTCCCTCTGGCATCCACCTATTGCAGAGTCAGCAAAGCACCAATAGCAAAAATGAGCTTAACCAAAATTTGAGTCAGCTGTAAGACATTAGAATCCTCTTCAGAATGGTAACTCCACTGCTTTTCTTTGGGTGGAACAGCATGAATGTCTGTCTGCAAACTGGAGTATGAGCATGTGGTGTTACTGCATTTGGTTGCTTTTCAAAACTGAACTCCTGGTCTTTAGTCCAGATGGATTTATCAACAGTTTGTCCACACTTGTGTATCTGTTGTGAGCTGATTGCAAGTGCAAATCTCAGCTCCAGAAGTCATACAACTGTGAGGTCCTTCTCTTCTTTCTCTCTCCTCAGCTTATTATTTCTGAACTGCTTGTATTCCGTAGGACCTGGTTGCTCTTGGCAAATGCTGAGGCTGGAAGGGCTGTGTGAGTGAAAGCACACTGTTGTGGTACGTACACCATAGGGCTCACCTTTGCTTTCAGTCAGAATGGCTCATTTTCAGTACTGTACCATAGCAGGGTCCAAAATGAGTGGGATGGATTCATCCTGCAGCCTCTGGAGGCACAGTGAAGATCAGTGTAGTGCACATTGTTGCCCTTCTCATTTTTCCAAGGTCAAGTTGCCTGACCAGAGAAACAGAAACAGACTTCGTGCTACAGGAATATTCTCGCAGGTGGGTGCTAGGGAGCTTTGAAAGACTTTCTCAGGCATAATTTTTCCTGTTGATCTCCGTTGGTGAGAGCACCACACTGCTAGAGACCTGTCCTCTGTGGCAAAGCTCCGAGACTTAACACCCCTTCACTGTTCAGGGCAGACGATCACGGGCAGAGCGCTGCCTTCGGTTCAACCCATGTAACCAGCTGGGCCTGCAAGACCAAGGAGTGGCTGGGAAGCTGAAGTTTATTTTCATCTGGTAGTGCTGTAATCATTACGGCAGTTGGAACGCGCTTTTCTGCTGGCAGCAGGATGGATATAACTCCTGGTGCTCCTGTGTAAGCACAGCATGTGGGCTATTGTTGAGCCTTGCTTCTGGCTGACAGTAATATCACATTCAGCGTGTAATTAAACAGCTCATAAACTGCCTTGAGATGTTTGTTTATGAGCACTTTACAGTGGAGAAGTACTGTGTTTTTGGAGGAAGCTGAAATTTCTGTACTATGTGAAGCATTTGTATTTGATGTGCAGTTCCCTGTTCCTCGACAAAAATACTCAGTGGCTGGAGTGTTATTTTGCTGGCAATGAAAAGCATACAGTCAGGACATTTTCCCATGAGTTTCTGCTACTGATTTTTTCATTCATGTGTGTAAGTTAGATACCGATCTGCACGTGGAGGCATCTGTATCAATATCTATTGCAAATCAATATTTATAGATAACAAAATGAGTTTGCATTTTGCTTAACGGAAGCAAGAAAGGCTTGTTTTCAATTCCTTGGGAATAAGCAGAAACACCTAGAAATTAGGTAAAATATGGTGAGGACACCATGTAAAAACTATGTTGGTGAATAGAAGAGGATGATGTGAGAGAGTATTAACTCAATTTTTACTATACTCTCTGCCATTTGTTTTGTCTTACAGTTTAGAGTGAATGAATTTGGGGCCCTGGAAGTGATTACAGATGAAACTGAGATGGAAAGTGTTAAAAAGGCAACTGCTACGACAACATGGATGGTTCCAACTGCTCAAGAAGGTCAGTTAAGAGGAGGTAAACATTTTCTGTGGTAGACTGTATTTTGTTTAATATATTGTTTTTTCTTAAAGATTGCTCTCAAAAATCATAATAACCCACCAACCCACCTTTATTTGCTTTAATGCACTGAGTATATCTGATGTTACTTGTTTCTTAGGGTGTGGATAAGTATGAAAATAATAATAAGAAATACTTCCACTTTTTAAACATCTGAAGTTCAATTTCAGTTGCAATTTTTTATAACAGTATTTTTTTTTAAGTTTAGAATCAGTATTTTCCCTCTATTTAATTTGCAATGTAGTAAATTTCCTACTTTAAATTATTGGGAATTTTTTAGATATTATTTCTGTTGAGCTGGTTCTTCAGACTGCCCCACAGACTTTACTAACAGTGTATAGTTCATTTGTGTCCTAAGTACTGCACAGTGTAAATGGCCTTCACTTGATACTCGTTGCTGCTTAGCTGCTACAACCAATGTAAATGTAGGTCTGGTCTGTTGCCTTGCTCCTGCTGACTAGGCTTTTTTACAGTATTCAAATTAGTGGTTAACCATTTATGGTTAACTTGAATAATAAAATTCTGTTAGTTGTAGTAGTATCTGTCTACCAAATAAGGTGTTTCCTGGATTTAAAATACTGATGTGAGAAAGCCCGCATTTTTTGTTCAAGGAGTGTTGCTTTACATTGTCCTAAGTTCTGAAAATTTTGAAACACTCCAGCAATGACAGAGTAGCATGAAAAAACAGTCTCACAGCTTGTTTTACAATTGCTTACAACTACCTAGTGTTTTTTTTTCCTTGTCGATATTATATTTTATCAATTTTCTTTTACAATATGCATTCTATAAGTCCTTTGAGGAGCAGACTTCACTATTTTGGTTTAATAATCATCAGCACAAGCACAATAAGCAGAGTCAAGGCAAGTTTTCCTTTGCTACTTCCCCACCATTAAGTCTTAGTTGTCATGTGAGTTTTGTGCCTAGGTGAAAACATTTACATCCCTGGGAAAGCAGTTTGGGCCTCGGCTGTAAGGTCTGAAGCTTCACAGCTACTCTGTTCTGTAGGTCTGTCTCCAAGGCAATGGTAGTTCGGCAAGATTCACATCTGTGGTGAGAGTGGCAACAGTGTGATAGTGTAGTAGCACAACAGGCGCTCTCCTTAGACAGAGACCACAGTTATCTACGGCAAAACATACAACTTTGTTCCAGGCAGTCTGGCAAACCTGAAAATAAATGATGTCGCTACTGAATTGAAGTGTGTTTGTGGATACATAAACATACCAAGTAAGTATCCTACTGCTACCTTACACTGCCCTTGATTAATTTACTGCTCCCCAAAGATAAAAATAGTGCTAACATTTTCCATTCTGAGAGGAAATAGTTGTTTTGAACCACAAATGGTGCTGGACTGTAAATATAGCATGTAAATTACATATTCTTCTAGTGGAGATAGTCTGCACGCAAAGAGTTCATTTGACTCAGTTTTCAAAGACAGTACAGTGTTCAAGCAAAAGAAGTAGTTTGTGACTTGAAATTTGCTTTCTGGGGGTTGCAAAGTCAATGACCTGCTCTAGAAGCTGGAAAACTTGACAGTGCTACATACTTGCCTGTGAGTGAAAGAAATGGCATCCTCTTCTAGGCTACATGCCTCTTGTGAGGAAACTCTAGCTTAGGATGAGTGAGTAACTTAGTATTTGAAAATTTCTGTTACAAATCAGTGATTTTTCACTTCTGGTGGACTTCAGGCAGGCTGAGCAATAGATATTGCTGTGAGAGACTGTAGAATGTAGCCAGTGATTTACTTCCAGAAGTAAGTTCACCTACTGAAAGATAACTCCCCCGGTAAACCCAAATAACCCTATGTGTAGGTCAAAAATGAGGCATGTCAGCAGGAGGTGAGGTGATGGACTCTGTGCAGTGATGACTTTGTGGGCAGTCAGCGTGGTGCCTGTTACAAAATTCACTCCTTCCACGAGTAGCCATGGAAGCAGTGTTGATGTGCCACTGATGACAGAGGCATGAAGTCGGTGGATTCCCCCCTCTAGTGTTGCCCCATGAAAACCCAACTTGCTTGTCAGGATTATGAACCCCGTAAAGGCACTGACTGTGTCTGAATGACACACAGAACTGGGGTTCTTCATTCTGACAGGAGTGGCGTGGCTTTCATTTTTCCATTTGCTTGGCAAGGCCTGCTGAGGATGGTTGGAAATGTATCATCTAAGTGAAGTTACTTTTTTCATTGTACAGCCTTTTCAGAAAAGACAGGGATCTGCACAAGGTTGAAAGAAACTGCAAAAATGGATGGACTTGTTTTCTGTGAAAACTGCTACCGCTATTGTACCATTGAAGAGTTTGTTCCTGAAGGGAAATTTTGCAGCCAGAAATGTGCCCAGCAAGTAAAAAACAAGTAGGTGCAATTATAAAGCATAGAAATGAAGAATTTGGCATAAATACAGCATAAGATACGGTGGTGGGATGAAACATTAATGGTGGGGCAAAGGGAGGTATTTAGCAGCCATGTTTTGGTGAGTCTCCATTGGTTTCTAATGTTCTTTCACTGTTTTACATGTAAATGTGTTAACAACATTTAGTTTGTCTAACGCTGATGTTGAAGGCAGTCTTTTTTTGCTTGGTGTGCTGTGTTCTGCTGTCAGATGCAAGTGGTGAAACAGTCTATGGGATGCATGAATCAGCGTCAGACTCCCACCCTCTTTCATAATCATTGGAATTAAGATAATCAGTAATGAGATGGTTGGTGTGGTGAGTTAATTACAATTAAGTGCAAGAGCTGTGTTACAGATGACAGTGAGTGAAAACATGAGCGTACTGTAGTTTCTCAGTTCCTTTTATTTCAGCTTGTGCAGTTCCTCTCATCACAAAAGAAGGTTTCTGTTAGTATGTCCGTTCTGTATTGCATATTACTGCATTATGGCAGTTTAACATCTGTCATTTTGTGCATTTTCCTTTATTTTTAGCTAATTACTTAAAAGTTTTCTGTTCTGATTGCTTGTTTAGCAATTTGTACAGTCACATACCAGCTTTCTCCAATTGGATTTGTCAGTCTTAACAATTACCTTTGCTTCCCTTCCTGTAAACTGCCCTGCAGTCCTAAACATTTCACAGTTTGCTTCTGTGTGAGGCTTGATGGTGCATGAGAAAAGACACACTGTTTAGAACGCGCAGAACTTGTTCAGTGTAAGCTGACAGCTTTCCTTTTGCAGCTGCCATTGTGTGTCTTTCAGATTAATTCTTTTGACAGATAAAATTTTCAGTAGCATTTCTAAGAATGTATTTGGTATAATACCCTGAGACCTACAAACACTTGACCTTCAGATTTGCTTGCTTTTTACTTGTTTTATGAATATGAGAAGTGAAATAATATTGGCTTTGTGTTATTGTGTTACTCTTATGATAGAGAACCAAAGGAGGAAAAACCCAGCATGGAATGTAATGGGGAAGATGATTCTAAAGGCATTCGGAAAAGAAAAGCAAAGTTGCCTCTCAAAGAAGAGTCCAGGGATAATGAGGAGAAGAAAGAGAATCCTGATGAAATTGTTAGTATGCATCCTAAAGCCATTCCTGCACTTATTTCATTGGGAGTTTTGCCTTATATTGCAATGTCAGTAACTTCATCAGTCTAAAAAGAGAAGTGATGGCATCCCTCTATCAGAGCCACAATAAATAGTTGGTTCACTTACCAATTTCAATATGCCTCATCAGTAAATTGTAATTACTGACAATGAGTTGGTAAGAGCTAGTTTTTATCCCTTTTCCTCCCCACCCACCCCCTCCCCCCGCTTTTTTTTTTTTTAAGAACAGAACAAAAAGAATTTAATGGGAAAAAATGATTCTAACCTAGACTTGTTACATTTTCAGCATGGAAAAACAGGAGCACATATTTCCCAACACCTGTTACTTTGTCGCTTTGCACATGAATAAATGACTATAGACCAGTAACTTATTTACAGAAAAGCTGCATTACAATTAAGAAGAGAACACTTTTGATTTTGTTAGTGTAATTTGCCTTATGAGGTTACTGTACTCTTTCCTTAATTTAGGAGGACAAACCTGAAGGAAGGATCTTGAGAGTCTCACAGAGAGCCAGGAGGAAAAGAAAAGGGGAAATAACAGTTTTGAAACAAAGTAAGTTAGATTATGAAACAACAAATCTCAACTACTGATTTTTTAGGTGATACCCATCTCTTATTGTGAATTGCCAGCATTGTTTCACTGAATTTGTATTCCCTATTGAATATGTTTTTTCAGTTCTGTAAAAAGAGAGTGCCGTTGTTACTTATATCAATTAAGTTTTAAGGATTGAAGAATGGAGAGCGCCACATGAAAACTGGGGAAAAACCCCATCACTTGGAGACTGATCACCTTTTACAAAGAGCTGGTTTATATACCTCTGGCAGCATGGAGGAGGATATAGTGAGTGGAAAAGTAATTGATGCACATTTTAGGGGTTTTTTCATCCCTTTGAAGAGGCTGATGTTAAAGGGAATCAGGCCCATTGAGTTCCCAGATATTGAAAGACATGTATTAAGCAGAAGTGAAAGTTTACTTTTGTTTCCTTGGGGATCAATTTCATGTCTACAGTATGTGCTGGAAATAGACACATTTATGGAACTGTTTAGGAATAATTGCTATAATCAGTCCAAAGGGACATACATTGCATCAAGCAGCATAATAAAACATATTTTAAATGAGTGCTGTTTTTTTCAAGCTATTTGTATGATAGATACTTTTAGGAAGAATTGGAGAATCAGGAGTTGTTATACCTCAGTGATACATCAGGCACAAACTTACATCTTGCCCTCCAAAGTGTTTCTTATGGTGGACTGGGAGCCATTACCAGAAGATACAGAGCCACTAATCAGCACAGGACTCCAAATAGCTCTGCTGCACACTAGGCAGCTGAAATACTGATTGAAGATGCGAGGCATAAAAGTTATGGAAGATTCCCCCTCCTGAGGTAGAATTACTCCTGAAATATAAATATTATTTTTACAGTTGTTTCCAAAGCTGAGGTGATAAGAAGTGTGTGAGATGCGAGCACAATGCTGATGCTCTATGGAAATCACTTCTGTCCACTGACAGAATGATCTGTACAGATTTCTTCTATATTTTTTTTTTTTTTAATATGAGAAAATGTCAGTTCATCACAAGAGATCTGGTATAAAAGACCAATTTTTATTCTAGAACCAAGCAAATAACTGTATGTTACTGTGCTGAGCAACACATCTCTTAAATGTAATAGATAAAAACTGGGTGAATCATAAATAAAATGGATGTGCTTTAATAGCATTGAGCGATTGCTGTCATTCTGAAATTTGTTATCTTTTGGTTACATTATCATCTTTCTTCAGGAGAGTTTGGCATCACTATTGTTATGGTTCATGTTTTAATCATGAAGATGCTTAGCCAGGCTGTTACTTAAGGGGGTTACTTCTCTTGTGAGTAGCCCACAGTCTGGATCAGGCCAGAATCGTACTGTGGAATGTGAGGAATCCTCCTGGCAGCGTGAGCTTATGGTCTGAAATGCTAAGCTGCATGTGCAGAGGAGAGATTTTAGGAGAAGATCAATAGAGCAGAGTGGAGATATATGAAAGTAGATACATGCATGGCCAGCCTCACAAGCCATCGTTTTTTGAAGATCCTGGCTTTTGCTAGTGCAGTAAGTGCCCTGTTTTCAAGGCCTAAAAAGTGTTACTCAGTGTTGTAACTGTAGCCAGTATTACAGTTCCTATACAAGTGTATGCAAGTGTTCATACTACCTGAACAAACCTGAAACTGGAGGTTTCTGTCACATGCTAATCACATGATGGGGGGAAAAAAGCACTGGTGAGAGTTTTGATGGCTTGGAGAAATTACTGTTAAATCACTGCCTCTCCACCCAAAACCATCAGCGTGATGGAGTAGGTTAAAAACATTCTGAATATTGTTAAAGATTAAAGTATTTCAGCTGTGATTAAAAAAATGTATCACAAGTGCTATCCAATTGACAATGCTTTTCAGGAAAATAGATTATTGGGGGGAAAAAATACTGAGCTAATTTATTATTTGAACTCATCTTTTTACACATTTGCAAATTGTATATCTTAATGTGTCTTCCTACCAATCAGAGAAAAGGAACAGGAGGCATGACATTGTATGTAAGTTGTTCTTGTCACCTGAATGAGCTTTTCCTTGTTACTAATCAAGATCTGAACTTTCTATACAAACCAGGAACTTCCAAAGAAGTAGCACTGTAGATTTAATGGCACTGGGACATGGAACTTCCATGGTCCTGGTGCCATTAAATCTACAGTGCTACTTCTTTTCCTGAAATAAGTCCTGAGAAACACCATGGATTCATTTAATAAAATGTAGCTTTCACATAGACATATCATGAACTTCGAAGTGTTGTGTTGGTTTGTTTTTAGTTAATTGTTACAGAATTCGTCTGCTATTGTGTGCTTCTTTACAGCTGTACCCTCTAAAGGAAGGCAAGCATGGTGTTGGGCATCCTATCTGGAGGAAGAAAAGGCTGTGGCAGTACCTATTAAGCTTTTTAAAGAGGTATGACGTGAAGTTTAAATCAACCACCTAAGATCATTAAATATCTAGGAAATAATAATAAAAAAATTGAATATTTTACACATCTCTGGGGAATACCTACATGATTAAAATAATGCTGTCCATCAGCAATTGTCAAGATAGTCGTAATGTGTGCAATTACCTTTCTCTGTTTTTTCAGAGAATTCTGTAGTTGTAGATGAATGCTGTCAACTGAGACTACAGAAACCAGATGCTTTTGCAAGATCTGCAAGATCTAGCCTTTCCTTCTAATCTCTGAAGATAAAAATCTGATACATACCCTCATTTTTTTCATGCCGTATCATTCCCTTTAAATATGTTTAGAAAGGTGGTACACAGGTCATCTTTTGGCTTGTTGCTTTGATTATATTACCTGCCTGTTTGTAGCTCCTGATGACATATGTTTTTACTACATCAGATACTAGTTTGTTTTATTCCCATTTTGCCTGTCATCTGACTGAATGTCACATCATCATCTCTTGCTTGTCCTTTGCCTGCTACGGTAGTCTTTGTCATTTGTCATTTCAGTGTTTTCTCTTGTGCTGTCTCTCTTGCTTGGAAACGACTTCTGTATGCAAATCCACAAAGCTTCCATGCTGTTCTCTTCTCTTGCAAAACCTGGCAAAACATTTGAACATGTCACAACTGCTGTACTTCTGCTATGTATATCTGGTATTATTTTTTGATAATTCTGTTCTTGTAGTCTGTTTCTTGCATCTATTTTTTTCTGTTTGCTTTATACTTGAACTATTAAATTTTCATGCAGGGATTAACATTTTGACTTATGTGTGCGTGTGATGCTGAGTTTTAATTGGTGCTTTTAGACATTACTGAGGTACCAAACTAAAGAACTAGGATTGCAATGTACAGAATACATAGGTTTGTAGGTGCAAAAACAACAGTTACCTGACCATCTTTTATATCCCCTGTGCGATATACTGGTTGAAAAATTGTCAAGAAAAACACTTGGATAAGTAGTGTCTCTGTCTGGAAGGCAGATTTACAAAGGGTTGCTCTGCCTGTCTGAAGTTACATGAAGTTCTGTTGCGGCACACAGGCATGTACCAGCCTTACTGGGCACTGAACATGGTGACAAACTCTAGAGTTACATGGTGACATACTATTTCCTTTTTTTCTTCATAGTGTATTTCTCTCATTCAGTACGTCTTATTTAATATTTTCTTTTAAAGTCTTTAGCCCCTGGGTAGTTCTAGGGTTTTATTTAGTGTGCAATATTTAAAGCCTGTAGCAGAGAAAGGATTCTTAATAACACCTGGGAGTGGCCAGTTTATATTTCTCCATTTTACTGGTGGACAAGCAAGCCATAGGAACAGTAAGGTTAAAAAAACCAAACCCTAAACCCAACAACCGAACATCATCATTGGTTTTGAATCCTTGATTTCTGTTTGGATTGTGAGAATCACTCTTTTCTTTCTTATTTTTCCAGTTCAGAAGCAGTACTTTTTGTGGTAGTTTTTTGTACCTATAGTTAGGAATGGTAAAGGTAATGGAGAGTTGCCACTTCCTGGTACTTAAATTTTAGAGTTGTTTCTAGGCTGTGACTGAAAAGCTGTAACTGATACAGTAAAACAAAATTATTGACATTTGAATTTTGTTATTTTCAGTCTCCAGCTCCCCAGTGTAATCTTTTGGGGTTTGTGTATGTTCTTGCACCATACATAAATGTTTCTTATCCCCAGTCTGCCATCTGCTCATTTGCTGATTCCTTTTACTCTTACTTTGTTCTTGTATCTCTCCTTAACAAAGTATCTTTTAATGTTTGTTGTAAAGTTCATGTGTGATTACTAAGTCTGTCATAGCTTAACCTCGGTTGATGTATTCAGAATAATGCCCAAAATTTAAATATGTTAAATATTATTGAAGTTCTAAAAATTTACCTGTTATTTTTCTGTAACAGAAGCCAAACTAAAGATGCATTGCCTTAGAAGTTTTAGATTTGACAATGGAAAGAATAACGAGTAATTCCTGTCTTATTTTTCAGGACATACCTGTGTGATAATTGCTTAATTTTTAGTGTATTGTTTGTAGAATTTTGTACTGTGTGTACAGTGAAGTTTATTATAATAATGAAAGAACAGACAGATCTATGACTTCTTAATTGTTTCTTTTCTTTGTAATTTTATTTGTGCTTGCTTTTGCAAAATCTCAGTTACATTATTGGCCATTGTTTCTCAGTGTGTCAGTATTTCTAGTATTTCAGTTTTCCACTGAAGTTTTTTACCTGTAAGGTATTTATGATATAGATGGCATTAACTTCAAGTTTGTGTACAAAAATGAACTTTAAAGATTTCTGTTTATCAGTTTAAAAAAAAAAATAAAACAAAATGCTCTGCTTTTACGTTCCTCTTGAGGATGTATCCAGAATTATGCATAGTGTAACTTCATTAAACTCTCATTGATAATAAAAAGGTTAAGTGTGGTGATGTTAGGATGAAATAACTTTTCAAATGTGTGTACTGCAGTCAGATACTCTGACCCCTTAACCGAGGTCTACAAAATCATCATCTAACCTCTTTTTAGATAGGGACTTAGAGCTGTGGTTAGACACCTATTAGCTGACCACTTTAGGCTGTTTTAAACTGGTCTGGTTCTCCATCTCCCTTCCCCCTGACTGCATATAGCTCTTTTGCTCTGCACTGCATTTTTTTTCTCCTGGGTTTGTTATTCAGTTATATCAGTGGCAGCCAAAGCCACCAAAGAGAGGTTTCCTTTGTTGCAAGTAGGTGACCTCTCCGAGTACCTTTCTTGGTACCCTTCTATTTCTATTCCCTGCAGAAGAACTGCAAATGACTAGGGAGCATGTGAAGATTTTAGGCAAGAACAGAAGGAAGGGGGAGCATATAAGATGCTTCTGTGTTTTGTCTGCAACCATTTGGGACATAAAAACTGTGTAGCTGTAAATTTTGTATTCTGTGGAAAACCCTCTGCAGTTTTATTAAATTTTTTTTCTGATATTCCCTCCAATTTAACCTTAGTACCTGCTAGCTTCCTCCTTTCTTTAACAGAAGACAGGGAACATGTTACATGCAATGCTGATGTCCTGTGATTGGAAACGTTCTTTTTGCTTAGCCTTGTTTTCACTTTCATATGAAAGATGTTCCTCTAGGTTTGTCATAATGTGATATTAGGCTAGTTCCTGTGATGTATAATAAACAAAACAAACTCATGGGACCCAACTTACAAAAGAGAAAACAGCATGAAAGAGGCCAAACCTACATACAAACAGTATTTTGTATTTCTCCCTTTCAGTTCCACTTTGATAGCCTGGGATGTGGAAATGAAAAGGAAAAACAGAGCATCATTGTTGTGATTGTAACAGGAGTGATGACCACTGAGTCAAAGTGTCACTGCATAGGCTGAAAATTATTTAATTACATTGTTAAAACCTTTTATTGACAATTAGTGGGAAAAAAGCTGAGAGCAAATCATGTTGTCGTCTTTCCCTTGGGTAGCTTTTTTGCTAATTCTTTATAATTTTCTTAAGTACTCTCAAGTTTTAAGTCATTCTAATATCAACATGTTTTTTGAATAACCATGAATTTCCTCTTTTCTGCAGTATGTTTTTAAAAATGCAAAACTTATTTTAAAGCAATTCTTTCACGAACATGAAAAATAATCATTGTTTTTTCCCTTATAAAGACATTCCATCTTTCTCTGATATACTTTCAGAAGTATTGAAACTGTTCTTCTTTTCCATTGCAGTATCAATCTTTCCCATATAACAAAAACGGATTCAAGGCTGGGATGAAGCTGGAGGGCGTGGATCCTGAGCACCAGTCGATATACTGTGTTCTCACGGTGGCTGAGGTAAGTAGAGGCTGCAGGCAAGCCGTGGTGTGGCATTACAGAGAGACTGAACTGGAACAGCAGCAGCTGAAAGTGCTTGCTCTTCCCTAGCAGGCAAACAGAAACTGTATGTAGGAAGACAGCTTTTAAATTAGTAATGCTGTATTAAATCTACCTGATCAACACGTGACGACTGTGTCCAGTACCATGCAGCAGGAACTGTTTATATACATTTAATGTATGCGGCTAGAGAACATGCATTACACTTGTTGGATGATGTGTGCTTTTTCTGTAATCCTGTACTTTTTATTAAAAAAAAAAAAAGTAGGAAAATAATATGACAACAGATTTATAGTGTTTTCATAGAAGTCTGATAGTATTTTACAGTTTCTCACTGACATAAATACCTAACACTTTTTTCTGTTGCAGTTGTGCTACAGTTTTTTCAGGCTGATGGCCTCAGAAATTGCCTGTATTGGCGACTTCTACACATTAGTATACCATATAAACTCTGTCTTTTTGCCGCATTTTATGAAATAATTTTTTGACAAGCCATTTCTTTGCTTTTAATAATATAAATGAAGACCCCTTTTTCTTTTTTTGTGTCTTTCAAATACCTTACATTAGTTTTTATGTAGTTTTACCAAGGATCCTTTTTTGGTTCCGTTTTGCAAATTAAAATGGGGAAACGGGAGTAGCGTAGGTACTCTGCTGTCTATGACTGTTGTTCTAAGTAGCTACAATTTTGAAATTTATATTTTTATAGCCTAGGCTTTTGTTTTCCCATTTCTGGATCTCTTCATGGCCCATAGTCATAGGCCATTACTGTGGATATCTCTTCCATTTTCTTGTGGATGGGGTGTCAGTGATTATTTCCTGTGTATCTTGTGCTCAGCACTCGGTGATGGGTTATGTTTTACTGGAGGTTGACCTGAATTTCACGTAATTTGAGATGGCAAACTGAATGTTATGTCAGAGTAGAAATTAACTATAAAATAGGGTGACCTTGATGTCAAGAGATTTTCACTGATTACTGGAGGAAAATTATGGCATTTGGCATTCAGGAAGATGTGGAAAACGAGCGAAGGATTGTATGTCCTATTTTTCTCTTCCTTTTGGTGGTTAACGTATTACTTCATGGAATAATTAAGTTCTAGGGGATACCTTCACTGACTTCTCATCTTTAATGAGAGTTCTCAGTATTGGTCTGGAAAGCCTGTTGAACGTAGTTATTGTTGAGTTCTCTCTTGCTTATTGATTAATTGGGATAGCTTGAGGGGATCATTATCTGTGCTTTCTCAGTGACTGTATTGGATGTTTTCATGCTCTTCTATAGGGTTTCTGTTTTATTCTGATGTTTGACTGAACAGTTTTCAAGTTTTTGAACACTAATGGCAATATCCATATTTTAGTTAATTCTTTTCACCAGAGGAGGAGGTACTTAGACTGAGAATAGCTTTGCTTTTTTATTCTTTCCTTTTGTGGTGGGTTAACCTTGTCTGGAGGCCAGGTACCCACCAAAGATGCTCTGTCACTCCCCTCCTCAGCTGCGCAGGGGAGAGAAAATACCATGTAAGCCTCACAGTTTGAGATACGGACAGGGAGAGATCGTTCAGCAATTGCCATCGTGGGCCAAATAGACTCAGCTTGGGAATAAAAGATAAATTTTCATCAATCAAACCAGAGTAAAAAGAGCTAAAACCAAACTTAAAACATTTTCTTGCCACCCTTCCTTTCTTCCTGTGCTCAGCTTTGCTCCTCATTTGTCTACCTCCTCCCGCTGAGTGGCACAGGGGGATGGGGGTTGTGGCCAGTCCATCACACGCTGTCTCTGCCGCTCCTTCTTCCTCAGGGGGAGGACTCCTCACACTCTGCCCCTGCTCCAGCGTGGGGTCCTTCCCACGGGAGACAGTCCTTCATGAATTTCTCCAATGTGAGTCCTTCCCACGGGCTGCAGTTCATACACTGCTGCAGTGTGGGTTCCTCCCACAGAGTGCAGTCCTTCAGGAGCAGCCTGCTCCAGTGTGAGTTCCCAGTGGGGTCACAAGTCCTGCCAGCAAACCTGCTCCAGCCTGGAGCTTTTCTGTCCACAGGGCCACAGGTCCTGCCAGGAGCCTGCTCCAGCACAGGCTTCCCTCTCTGCCGTGGGGTCCTCCCCAGGCTGCAGGCG